AGTAACATTGTTATCTGTGAGTGGTCGTTTTACAGTAAGTATAATAAATCAACTTAATACCGACATCAATTACCAGCAAGTAAAATTGTTATCTGTGATTGGTCGTTTTACAGTAAGTATAATAAATCAACTTAATAAATCAATGACCAGCAAGTAAAATTGTTATCTGTGATTGGTCGTTTTACAGTAAGTATAATAAATCAACTTAATACCGACATCAATGACCAGCAAGTAAAATTGTTATCTCCGATTGGTCGTTTTACAGTAAGTATAATAAATCAATGACCAGCAAGTAAAATTGTTATCTGTGATTGGTCGTTTTACAGTAAGTATAATAAATCAACTTAATACCGACATCAATTACCAGCAAGTAACATTGTTATCTGTGATTGGTCGTTTTACAGTAAGTATAATAAATCAACTTAATACCGACATCAATGACCAGCAAGTAACATTGTTATCTGTGATTGGTCGTTTTACAGTAAGTATAATAAATCCATGCATTGCAAGTAACAACAACTTAATTCTAACGAATTTTTTGGTTTATCTTGTGATAATTATCGTTTATATGCTCACATTACCATCCTACTATTTACAAAAGCATTCGTCATTTTCCTAATTGAAATCCCATGTCTCATTTTTTTAGCTCTAAAAGAAACAAAATATTCTATACAACTAAGGTCACATGGGTTACTGGCAAAGGTCAAGGTGACAAATACTTATCAAAAACTAAACATAATTACCAGACTTACAGCCAGTGGAAAGTATAAATAAGATAATAAATTAGGGGACAACAACTTGGCTCAATCCAATATAGTCAAAACTAAACAGAATCGCGAACTCGAATCTAAAGGTTAGTCTTTATACGATCTGACTTAGGTTATACAAGTCACGCCATCGGAATCCCTGCACGCGTTTCATACAAGTCACGCCATCGGAATACCTGGACGTGCTTCCTACAAGTCACGCTATCGGAATCCCTGCACGTGCTTCCTACAAGTCACGCCATCGGAATCCCTGCACGCGTTTCCTACAAGTCACGCCACCGGAATCCCTGCACGCGTTTCCTACAAGTCACGCCATCGGAATCCCTGCACGTGTTTCATACAAGTCACGCCATCGGAATCCCTGCACGTGTTTCATACAAGTCACGCCATCGGAATCCCTGCACGTGTATCATACAAGTCACGCCATCGGAATCCCTGCACGTGTTTCATACAAGTCACGCCATCGGAATCCCTGCACGTGTATCATACAAGTCACGCCATCGAAATCCCTGCACGCGTTTCCTACAAGTCACGCCATCGGAATACCTGCACGTGCTTCCTACAAGTCACGCCATCGGAATCCCTGCACGTGTATCATACAAGTCACGCCATCGGAATCCCTGCACGTGCTTCCTACAAGTCACGCCATCGGAATCCCTGCACGTGTATCAAACAAGTCACGCCATCAGAATCCCTGCACGTATTTCCTACAAATACTTTACCAAAAGTCCAAAAATGATCGATTGTCGCACGTTGAGGCAATACTTTTTTTTTCAAAGTATGAAATCTTAGAAACACTTAACTCTGATCACGATGGAACAAACAAACAGATGTTTAAGTAGGTGTTGAGTCGTGTTTCCACGGTAGCAACTGGAATATAAACACTTTAGTAACTTTCATTTTGAAAGAAATGACTTTCTAATGCCTACCAAATCTGGGCATGTTTTCAACTCTTTGATCAATAGGTTCAATGCGAGATCACATATCATCGTGGTGTACATCCTACTTCGAGAAGACTTGGGTTAGTAACAAGCTTCTTAAATTACAAGGATATTAGCTGTCTTTCACACGGCGTATATTTCTAATATAACCTTTAAACAAGCAGAAGTAATCTGAAGAAACAAAAATATACGAATGTTAATGATCTTATAAAGCCATGCCATGCAGAGGACAGGGGCTAACTGGCAAAAGAAAGGGCATTTTTCAAGCATCATAAGTTGGCTC